ACATACACAATTTCTCAGTTTGATACACAATTTATAATTTAAGAAGCACAGATTGGAGTTTATATTCGTTCTAAAGTTTGCATGCGGCATGAAACACGCCAAGATGTTCTTGATCAGTTAAGCATACTTGATCCCTCTAAACCATGTGGACCAGATGGAATTTCTCCCAGAATATTAAAGGGAACTCGTTATTTAATATATAAAACTCTATGTAGATTATTTAACCTTTCACTTACAAATAAAGTTCTTCCATACATATGGAAACAAGCACATATTTCACCTTATTTTTAAAAATAAAGGCTGTCCCCAACAACCTAATAATTACAGACCAATATCATTGACTTGTTCTATATGTAAACTAATGGAAAAAATACTTTTTAAATATATGTTTAATCATATTAAGGAACATGACTTATTGTGTAAATACCAATCTGGGTTCCAACCTGGGGATTCTACTGTTAACCAATTAGTTGAAATTTATCATAAAATTATGTCGAACCTTGACATAGGCAGAGATATACGTTTTATATTTTGTGACATTTCCAAAGCTTTTGACAAGGTATGGCATAAGGGAATGATTTTCAAACTTAAAAACTTTGGATTTAGAAGTAATATACTGGGTTGGATTGAAGACTATCTTACTGAGAGACAACAAAGGGTGAATTTAGAAGGCTATTCATCATCATGTAAAACAATAGATGCTGGGGTACCCCAGGGGTCTGTACTGGGTCCTTTCTTGTTTTTGTTATATATAAATGATATATCTAAAGATATATCTTGTAATATTCGACTGTTTGCTGATGATACTTTTTTGTTTGCTATAATAGACAATGATATCAATGCTCCAACAATGTCCCTTACTCAAGATCTTGAAAAGATAAGAAATTGGTCCAAAGCATGGGCTGGAGATTTTAATAGTGAAAAAACTGTTAATGTTGATTTTACTAGAAAACACGTAAGTTATCCTAATATTCAGTTTGGATATGGAGGTGATTATATAAAACAATCAAATACTCATGTTCATTTAGGATTACAATTTCAAGCAGATGGTTCTTGGAACAATCACATATCAAATATATATGAAAAGGCATGTAAAAGATTAAATATAATTAGGTTACTGAAACATAGCATTGATAGAAATTCACTTATAAAAATTTATTTTGCCTTTATAAGACCAATTTTAGAATATGCTGATGTTGTATGGGATAATTGTACCCAAAATAGTTCAGACTTCAAATAGAAGCTGCTAGAATTATTACTGGACTTAGAGTTAATTCATCCAGAACTTGTTTGTATGGTGAACTAGGATGGGAACCATTATATCTTAGAAGAGAAAAACACAAACTTCAATTGATGTATAAAATGATTAATGGTTCTGCACCTGATTATTTGTATGATTTGATTCAACCTTGTTTTCCTGTTCAACATGCTTACAACCTAAGGTCTGGATGTAATAACTTATGCATACCAGTTTGTAAAACAATGTCATACTATAATAGTTTTATTCCATCAACCGTAAAACTTTGGAACAGTCTTACTGAAGATGTAAAAAACTCTCCTTCATTAGCTATCTTTAAAGCAAAACTTAAGAATTGGGGAGCAACTAATAAGCCTTGTATGTACTTTAACTTTGGTAATAGGAAAGAAAATATCTTGCATTGTCAGTTGAGAAACAATGCTAGTAATCTTAATGCACATTTAAAAAATCATTTTTTATCAGATATTCAATCATGTCAAAAGTGTGGATTTCATACTGAAGATACTGAACATTATTTTATCAACTGTCCATCGTATAATGTTGAAAGAAACATATTGGTAAAAAAATTAAATGATATTAATGTTGTTTTTGAACTCGACGCTCTACTAAGAGGAAAATCTCAATACTCTTATCAAACAAATTGTCAAATATTTTCATATGTACAAGAATTTATAAAATCTTCTAAAAGACTATATTAGGGACACTGTCATATTAAATATTCTATTAAATGCATAATTTTTTTTTCTTCTTCAAATATTTGTATTATTTTTAAGCTGGAACAGTATGTAAATAATATGCATACAGTTAGGGGTTGTCATTTTTTTTAGATATAATATTGATAAATAATACTTGATTGTGAATCTTTATTTTTCATTATAATTTTATTGATTATCATGTTCATGTATTATTTACTTCTAATTTGTATCTTGACCAATTATAAAAGGAGAGGGCTTACATAGGCATTGCCTGTTGCCCAATCCTGATTGAATTATATTCAATAAAATATGTTTAAAGTTCAAGCACGCCTACCGAGAAAATCAAACTCTCGAGGTGTTGTCTCATTAATTTCTTATTACAGCATTTGATATACAAGATATATTATCTTTATAAAGTATCTGGTTAACTTTTGACCAAAAGGTAATTCAAAAAATATTTTTCACAATTACCGGGGTATGTATCTGATTTATTTATAGTGTTTGATACGAGGGTTTGTAGAATTAAAGCCGAGAGACAATGAATCGTATCTGCTGTGTGAAGACCACGGACGTGTTTTTCTTAATTCTAAGACATTAAATTCTTTCTCCCCTTTTTAATAATAATCTTAGGCGTTTGATTTCATATATTTGTTCAATTAAGTTTGCCTCGGACACATGTGCAGTAAAAACTTTTCGTTTTACGGTCAGTTGTTTATTGACTTTATGTTTACTGTTTATACAAAGACTAATCTCAATTTAACTAAATTATTTATCTTCGTATATATCCGACCAGTGTATAAAATTATGTGGTGTTACATAATTAGGTACACGACACACTGTAAATGATACTGTAAATAAATACTAAATATTATTTAATTTGAAAATATTAATTTTTTTTCAAGTTACATGAAAGACATTTCAGATTTAAAAAAAAAAGACTATGTTAACAGGTCAACTTTAATTTCAAATTTCCACCTAGCCACATTATATATAGAAAGCTATGATGAAGTTTAAAAATATTTTTAAAGACATAATTTGAAGCGATATCAAAGGTTTTTTTTAAAGTATGGTATTTTTTTTAAATCTAGGAAAATTAATGTTCTCGCAACATTTGTAAGAAATGTTTATATACAATGTTTTGGAAACTTTAAAAATGTTTTCGTAACATTTCCAGAGAGGAATCTTACAATATAGTGTATGCTAAAACTTTTTTGAAAAAAAAATTGAAACCGTTTGGGGAAAAAAAAGACTAAATCAAGATCAAAATCAAAACATTTTTAAAACCTTTATATTTTGTTGAACTTTCGATGATGGGAAAATAATTACTATTATATTAATATTGTTTGATTTTGAATTTTTTCATTTACCAATAAAAACGATAATTTTTTTTTTATTATTATTATTATATATTTTTAGATTATTATTTTCTTAAAATAATTTCAAAAGAAACCACACAATCTTTTCAGTTCCCATTACCGGCGGCGTCTTTATACATACATGTACGTAACACCTCCTAATGGGATATGTGTACCTGACCCTAGTTGTTGTTTTAACAATTACTGACACGTTTTTTAAGATATATTCGACGGTAGCTGGAGATCACTTGAATATTTTAAAATATATATCTTCAACCTGAGAAGATTAAATTTTGGACACCCCCCCCCCCCCATCACCACATACACAAGAAAAAGTAACTAATTTAAAAAAAAACGATAAGAAATAAAAAGAAATAAAAATGAATTTTGTAAATATTTATTCTTATTCATCTGTTATAAAAAGAACCCATCAAAGTATATCTTTCTGATATTATATATATTACATAAAAATTAAATATTACGTACTATGTGTACTTAGAATAATATATGTTTTATCGCCACAATAAACAATTTGTTGAGATCCCCCCCCAAAAAATAACCCAAGTCCCGAATCGTCTTTACCCAAGTCCCGAACCGTCTTGTCGCTAGTCCCGAAACGTCGTATTAGTCAGGTCCCGAAACGTCGTGGTCCCGAAAGATCCTGCACCCCACTCCAGTGAAGTCGCCAATTCCAGGTCACGCCAGGGTGTTACTTTGATATTTTGCAAATCTGTTTATTTTATATTTTATGCAATATATGTATTGAGAGAACAAATAGTGAGTCATCCAAACACCTTTTCGTTTTCAAAATAGTTGCACGGAAACAATATTTACAGGGGTATTTCAGCAAGGCCTAGCTTCCCCAATTACGAATCATTTTCTCCATTTCCGGGTCATGTGACTTTACGGTCGTGTAATATTCATGGAACGTTTCGGAACAAGATTTTTATGATGTTGAAAAAAAAAAACAATTCATGCAGCTTGAGTAAAAAGTAAAACAACCACAGAAATATGTTTAAATTATTTTTAAAAAAAATCACAACAAAACATGCTGTATTAAAAAAAAATGTATTAGGATTTAAAATAATACAATAAAAAAAATGCATTTGAAGGGTTAACTCGATTTTATTTTTTAGAAAAAATATTTTCCAGTTAGAATACTTTTGATAATCAAGGTAAATACATGGTTGTTGATTGGTTTTGTACATAGAATTTTGACATGTTCATGCCACGAGACTGCATGACCCGCAATTGGAGAAACTACTACAGTTTGATTTAATATTTATTACACTTTTATTTTAGCAGCGATCATTATGATTGATTTCTCAGTTAAAAATAAATGCATTTGCCATACTTTAGAGCTATCATTATTTATCTAGAACTTTTAAATCAGCCTTTCTGCAACGAACAAAAACGAAAGTAGCCCGTCACCACAGCAGAAAGTTAACATTCAAGTCTTTAATGCGTGCGTTTCAGAATTTCGATTGTCGGATGCTGTCTTCAAGTTTATATTCGATTTTTTTTTTCAATAATTACGTACAGAAAGACCAGTTCTTCGTGATAGCGTATTCATTAAGTTTTTTGTGCTTAAATTTTAACACTAGGCATAAAATACACGCGAGTGACCCGGAATTGGAGACGACCCGGAATTGGCGACATCACTGTATTTGACCATTCGATGCCGTTCAAAAACCAGTTGTTGTGACTGTGTATTCGAAATACGGAAGCTATAATCTTAAAAGAGGACTTGCAAAAGCGGAAATATTATTGGATACATTATTTCAAGAATATTGCTTGGGATTTGATGGCTATTAAGTAGTCAAAATGACGGATAAGAACATTGAGCGACAGTGGCTCGCGAACATAATCACACAGTGGAATCAGGACCATTACGATTTATACGAATTAAGTCAACCCAACGAGGTAATTCATGACAAACTGCAAATCTAGAATTTATTTTTCATGGTTTCTTGTCTCATTTTGGTTCAAAAATTAGTTGTTTTCGGCGACTAACGTAGTTTACCTGTGGAGTGTATATATGCAGGTAAACTCAGGTGTCAACAAAATTTCAAGATGGCCGCCTCCTCGTAGACCGTCAGTCGGGACAGAGTATTAGGCATGTAGGAGCAGTAATGGCTTGTCACTGGAAACATTACATCGTAAAAGTCTCTGTCTCGTGGAGTAGAGTGCCTAACTGTTACAGTAATGCGTCGGTGCGAATCACACCCTCTGGAATACAGGTGGAAAATTGATTGACCCCATTTCCTCCCTTTAAGTGACCTCATTTATGACTAACAAATAATTCACTGCATTGACGCATAGGACACATATCAAATGAAATACACACATCCACACAGAAACATCTTCTACATTTGGGGTACATGTTGTATATATATATATATATATTATCAATATTGAAAAAAAATACAAGTTCGGAAATCCTTCTTCACCTTCCGTTAATGTCAATTTTAATTTCATTTTTATGAACATGATCAAATCCATAACATCTTTTTAAAAAATTAGTGTTTAACGTTTATATGGTTGTTATAAACAGAATGAACAATTAATGTAACTTTAGTGAATGTGACTGTTAAAACATGTTCATTACTTTTCACAATTACCAATTCAATAGCTGTAGGACATGAAATGTAAAAGTTATGAGCCAGTTGTATAACTATCTGTCATACATACAAATCACTAAAACAATTGTACTCTGTTAGGCATACCATGGCACACAGAGGAATTTTGAACCTTTAACATGTTAAAGTTATTAATTAAAAATTATTTTACATGTAGGGAGCAGCTAAAAACTATTTCACAAAAAATTTATGACCAAAGACTTTTTTTTTACTTCTCTGACAAGTATCAAAGCTATAGAGCAATAGGTCACAAAAATCTTACTTTTCTTTTACATTATATTAAAATTGCCAAATGATATTTTAGGGGAAAAAATGATATCTTTATCATACAAAATATTATAAATGGTGTCAGATTTTTATCTTTGTCAAAAGATTTTTCACGAGCCACAACCCATCTCTTTTAATTCTGAAATATCATTGAGCAGAAACTATTTTCGTAAAAGCGTAAACTGTGTTGACTAGATATACAAACGAGAATCTCAATATGCTGAAAAAAGCTCTCTGTGGTTATATAATTAACACACAGAATGTTCTCTTTCTGTCTCAGTTATTTACCCCCTCATTTCAGCATTTGCTCAGATTACACAATGAAAGTGTGGCATTATCTTAATTGTTTCATTTGACTTAATGACTTTGCATCCTAATCATAACAAGTAAAGGTCAAAAAAGTCTTAGATAATCTATATTGTAAACATCATAACAGGAATAATTCAGAGAATACATAAGTACCCAGTATACTATACTAGTACAGACACACTAGTCCCTGTTCATTACTTGGTTGATTATAAAGTGATTCACAAAAGTATGTCAGGAATGTGGACCAGGAACTGATCTGGCCACAGGGGACTAGACGGTGTCGAGTGGTTACGACCCGATTCCGTGTTCGATCCGCGTGGTAACGACCCGAGTGGTTTCGACCTACTTATAATTATATACATACAGGTAAATAGAGGGGTTCACACTATAAGCACACTATAAGGGAACAAACCCCTTAGATATACACATGGTTTCAAGGTAGCTGTATGGCTTCAGGGAGGGATACGTGTCAATTATTGGTTGTCAACATTGAAGTCAATAGTAAACTTAAGATTGATTTTAGGACAAGGATGCAATTAATTTCATTTGAAATAAATTATAAATAATTTATAAATATTTGAACATTTTCCTTAAAAACTAATCAGCCTTTTGTGGGATGATATACGTAATAATAAATGGTTAAGATAAACAGAATTATTTAGCATTTTTTTTAATAATGAATAAACAGTCACGATCAGTTTAAAAAAATCTGAATATTTTGAATAAGACCCCCAAAAATGTTTTTAAACTATCGAAATTGTTATAATTAATATTGCTCCGGAACGAAACCACTCGGGTCAAAACCACGCGGGTCGAACAAGGAAAAGGGTCGAAACCACGCGGATCGAACAAGGAATCGGGTCGTACCCACCCGCATAAGGATAAAACGTACGCTGAACTAGGACCTGAGGTCCCCTGCTCAGTTCACGACTATCGGGCCTGTTTACTCCGCTACAAAATGTAGTGCGTTGCATACGTAAAGTGAAAATAGAAAAAATCGTAATACTGTGAAGCCTTTAAAGTGTAAAACAAACAATTTTTTGTAAGGAATAACCATCTGATGGGTATTAGAAAAGATAGTTTGGGTGGAGGGTGGGTGCTAAGCAACATTAACTGCAATTTTATGCGATATATGATATATAAGCGTTTAACATTTATGGATTACGTTCGGTGACCTGTGCTCTCCCCTATGATTTTATTCCATGTAACGTTATAGTACACATCAGTAGGGACAACAGTAATGTGACCAGAGAACAAGTAATCTTGTACATCAGTGGGGGACCAGAGGTCCCCTTATATTGTACATCAGTAGGGGGACATCAGTGGGAGAGCAAAGGTCACCTTGTATAGTACATAAGTAGCGGGACCAGAGGTCACCTTAAACTGTACATCAGTAGGGGAACAAGAGGGCACCTTAATGTACATCAGTAGGGGGACCAAAGGATACCTAATATTGTACATCAGGAAGAAGAACAGTTTGTCACCTTACATAATACAACATTAGGTTGACCAGAAGTCAACTTATACTGTACATCAGAGGGGTACATCAGTAGGGGGACCAGAGATCACCATATACTCTACATCAGTAGGGGGAACAGAGGGCACCTTATACTGTACATCAGTAGGGGGACTTGAGGGCATTTTGAATTGAAGACACATTATATTGTACATAAGTAAGGGACAACAGAAAGGGGGCTATAGAACACCTTATATTCTACACCAGTAGGGGGACCAGAGGTCACCATTAATTCTACATATGTAGGGGGACCAGAGGTCACCTTAAATTGTACGTCAGTTGTGGGACCAGAGGTCACTTTATACTGCACATCAGTAGGGGACATCAGTAGGAGAGCAGAGGTAATCTTATATTGTACATTAGAAGGGGGACCAGAGGTCACCTTATATTGTACAGCAGTAGGGGGACAAGAGGTCACCTTAAATTGTACATAAATATGGGGACCAGGAGTCACTTTATATTTTACATCATTTGGGGGACCAGAGGCAACCTTATATTGTACATCAGCTGTAGTAGTGTGACCAGAGGTCACCTTTTACTGTACATCAGTAGGGGGCTAGAGGTCACCTTATATTGTACATCAGTAGGGGACAACAGTAAGGGGACCAAAGAACAGCTTATATGGTACATCATTAGTGGGACCAGAGGTGACCTTATATCCTTCATCAATAGGGGGACTAGGAATCACCTTATATTGCACATCAGTTTGGGGACCAGAGGCAATCTTATATTGTACATTAGCTAAAGTAGGGGGACCAGAGGTCACCTTATATTGTACATCAGTAAGGGGACCAAAGGTCACCTTATATTGTACATCAGTAGGGGGAGCAGAGGTCACCCTATATTGTACATACGTAGGGGGACCAAAGTTCACCTTATATTGTACATCAGTAGGGGACCAGAGGACACATTAAATTGTACATCAGTAGGGGGGCCAGCGGTGAGCGGTCACCTTAAGTTGTACATCAATAGGGGGACTAGGAGTCACTATATATTGTACATCATTTGGGGAAAAAGAGGCAACTTTATTTTGTACATTAGCTGTAGTAGGGGGGCGAGAGGTCACCTTAAATTCAATTGTACATCAGTAGGGAGACCAGAGGTCACCTTATACTGTACATCAGTAGTGGACATAAGAAGGAGAGCAGAGGTTACCATTAATTCTACAATTTTAGGGGGACCTGAGGTCACCTTATACTGTACATCAGTTGGGAGACTAGAGGTAACCTTATGTTGTATATCAGTAGCGGGACCGGGAGTCACCTTATATTGTACATCCGTAGGGGGACCAGGAGTCACCTTTTATTGTACATCAGCAGGGGGACCAAAGGGTACCTTATACTGTACAACAGTAGTGGACATCAGTAGGAGAGCAGAAGTTACCTTTGATTCTACATATGTAGGGGGACCAGAGGTCACCTTATACTGTACATCAGTTGGGGGGGGCTATAGATAACCATATATTGTGTATCAGTAGGGGGACCAGGAGTCACCTTATATTGTACATCAGTTGGGGGACCAGAGGCAACCTTATATTGTACATCAGTAGGGGGACCTGTGGTCATCTTATATTGAACATCAGTATGGGACCAGAGGACATCTAATATTATACTTTAAATCAATAGGGGGACCAGAGGGCACCTTTTATTGTACATCAGTAGGGGGCATCAGTTGGGACCAGAGAGCACCTTAAATATTGTTCATCTGTAGGGGACCTGTGGGCACCTTTTATTGAACATCAGTAGGGGACACTTAATATTACACTTTACATCAATAGGGGAACCAGAGGTCATCTTATATTGTACATCAGTAGGGGGACCAGAGGTCAATTTATATTGTACATCAGTAGGGGGACCAGAACACACCTTATATTACACTGTAGATCAATAGGGGGACCAGAGGACACTTTGAAATGTACATCAGTAGGGGGACTAGAGGTCACCTTATATTGTATATCACTAGGGGGACCAGAGGTAAGCTTATATTGTACATCAGTAGGGGGGCCAGAGGACATCATATATTGTACATTGGTATGGGGACTAGGGGTCACCTTATATTGTACATTAGTAAGGGACCTGTGGTACCCTTATATTGAACATCAGTAGGGGACCTGAGGACACTTAATATTACACTTTACATCAATAGGGGGACTAAAGGTAACCCATTATTGTTCATCAGTAGGGGGACCAGAG